AGCAGTGGCGAACGACCTTCGTTCTCTAGTGGGAGACAATTGGGGAGCTAGTATCGTCTGCAGGTCGAAGTTATATACATTGATACTAGGTCTGCGGGCGTTTATTGTAGTTTGTATCGTAGATGAGTTTGGTTACTTAGATTTGGGAATTACGGATTTACGAATGCAATTAGAGTAGTCGACGTACACATTTGACAATGTTCGTAAAATTCGGTACTCATCAGATTCCGTAAAGTTAGCGTCTGTCAGCTTCGTAAACTTGTTAACGTTTGCATTTGGAGAGTTTCACATTTACAACTGTCCAAAGGGACGGAGACTTAACGGTTCATATAGAGTGAAATGTTTATTTCTCTAAGATCTGTATAAGTAGAGGACAGGGTAGCTCATCACTGCTTCGGAACGCACCATCGCCCGCCAGCGTCTATCGCTGGCGCGTGTTTGCGTAGATCTGCACCAAAGTTCTCTCTTTCTCTCTCTCTCTCCCTGTCTCTCTTTCTCTGTCTTTCTGGTAGACACGTTTGCTATATCGTTTCATCACTGTTCCTCCGTTGGCGCGCACTTTGGCCCTCTCAGCCCGGTCCTTTCGACCGGAACCGAACCAGCACTCAGCTCCCAGCTAGCTCTACCCGGCGAGCCTCTTCCCACAAGCTTTGTCTAGGTTTTCTTTGTTGCTCCCGGGCCCTATTGTTACCCCCTGCGCCGTGTTCCCGGTGTTTCCAACGGCGGATCTAGCCCGGATTGTTCTCCTCCTTCCGACGAATTCCTCGACTCGTCTAATTTCGCGGCTCGTGGACTGGATAGACCGGGAACCACGCGCGCGCTCGCTCGCCCCACGGCCGCCCAGCTTTTCTTCTCCCGTCTCGAAATGCCGCGGGGATCCCTTTTGTGCCCCGGAACGGCGAAGGAAATCTGGGCTGGTTGGTTATGGAGTTTGTCTACTCACGGTTCGACGTTCACCGCGCCGTTTCGGCCGGCTACCGGCTGCGGCTCGTTCGCCTCTCGGCTTTAGCTACTCACCTTTCGGTGATTTTTCAACTTCTCGTTTCTGCTGGACTGTAATCCCCGGGTAATCCTTGGATTTTACGTAATTGGATCTACATCGGTGTCAAGTATGTTGTAGGAGAGTGTCGGGCTGGATTTTGTTTGGGTAAGGGACACGATACAGGAACGAAATCGTAGTTGGTGCTAGTAAATCGTCCTTCGTATCTGGGTTTGTCGTTGTAGTGAATATTCTAATCTCTGTGTTCGAGTAACAGGAATTTATTGCATGATTCATTTTTATACTAATCGATCATTCCACGTTTTAGAAGAATTATGATGCAACAAAGTATTTCTGTTCATCTCGAGTGACGTCTTAACCAGTTAACTGTGTTCGACGAGTATACGCGTCATCTTGAAACTCTTAACCCTCTGCACTCGAAAGGCGAGTCTCAGTCACAGCAAAACTATGAAGTTGAATCTTCGGTATTTTAAATTAAACTGTGTATCGCAATGTGATATATTTAAATGAAATAGTTTCGTTGCTAAATTTATCTGTGAATTCTCGTTAAATTAGTGTCGTCTATATTTCATCAGAAAATGTCCAAATATTTCTACTGAGAAATTATATAAATTACAATTATATTAATTATAAATCTACTGAGAGGTTAATGGTGCTAACTTTTTATATAACGAACATATAATTCTTCGTTTCGCTTTTGTTTCTCGTTAAGATATATTTCAAATCCATTTGGCCCGCATTTAACGAGTGTACACTTCATTATTCGATTTTATTGCGACAATAAGAGATTCTTCAAATGAAATTCCACACTTAACTGTCCATCGAGGACTCGGTGAACCAAGAGTCATTCCCGACAACTCGCGTATCCCTTTTCTCCGCTCGTTTCTTTAAAATCAATCCTCCCTTTCACCCTTTAAACCCCAGCACGCGAGGTCAGCCTTTATCGGCATCCGATCAAATTGGAACTCAATCGATCAGCTTTCAGCCTTGGTTCCCTCTTTATTTATCAAAATCTCAACGTTCGCCATCCAGTCTTTAGCAACCATACCATCTTCTATAAATATATCTCCCACTTTCAACGCAATCATCACGATCTTCGCGTATTTCAAACGGCCATGGTATCTTCTTTACGCAACCAACGAAATTTCTCGGTTTAACCCTTTGCACTCAATATTTTTCATTAAAAGCATTCATTACTTTCTGACTGAATATTAACGATATTTCTCTCAACTAACACAATGATGTTTTATGTGTTGACACATTACACAAGGTTTAACATTGAACTGAAAATTTTATAAGTTTGCTGCGTCGAATCAGGTGGCGACTTCTATAAATTAACCCTCTGTAGACCCATGTAACTTCAAAGTCACATATCAGTATATTGGCATCTTGATTTATTTCATTTTGCACTCGAAGTGGCGAATAAAATGAAGTAATCAGTTAACTTTCATACGCTCAGGCGTGAAAGTTTAACGTCATTGTAACTTGAAAGTCACAAAACATTTATATTCGTTTGATGAAATTATTGAAAAATTTTATAAGTTTGCTGCGTCGAATCAGGTGGCGACTGTAAGGCGCCTCGATCGCAAATGGTTAATTTGCCAAATATTTCACGAAGCGGCGTCATTCCGTTTCACGAAATACAGTGACCGGTACAACGATTATAACTGATACGAATGGGTAGCGGGCGGCGCGTGGAAAAAACGGAATAGACGCCTGAGATGGTATCGGTTCCGTTGACCAGAGAGCACGCGAGTTCCTCGTCGTCCAATCGGGTAAAACCGAGCCGAGCCGAAGGGCTCCTCTGTCCCGCTTCTCTCTAACACCGATGGTTCCCGGTCGGTGGTCTCTTTCTGTCTACCGTTCGCTCGCCCTCTTTCTCTTTCCCAAGCCGAAAAAGTTTATTCCTGGACTTGTAGTATTATGTAAATCGGTAGCCCGCCGGAAGCCGGGCTGCGATTAACTATTCATCGTCGTTTCGACGAGCACGCGAGCCATGCGTTCCCGGCGAGCGCGCGCGCCAGATCAGACCGGGGGCAAAGTGGATTACACGGCGCTCGGAGGTTTTAACACGCTTTCCCATCGGTCTGCGTCGCATATTTTACAGCGACACGGGCTGATCTATGTGTTTGCCGATCCGGAAATTAAGTTATTTCATTATCGAGCGGCTGGCGCGCGCGTCGGGCGGACACCGGCGCTGTTTTGGCGCCAAGAAGCTTCCCCGACGAAAAACGAGCGTCGTTGACTTCGCGCTCGCGAGTGGGTAATAGCTTTCTCTGGCCATTCCTCTTCTCTCTTCTTCTTTCCCCTTTTAACACTTAGCCGACCGCCTAAAAAGAACTATAACTACAACCTCCTCCGTTATCTTCGATTGAACTCGTTCGATCAATTCGGTTAGGAACTGTGTTTTGTAAAAGAACCGCATTTGATGGACTGCAAATAATCTGAGTTTAAGACTTACTAAACAAAAGAAAAGATAAATAGAATAAAAGGCTTTGCTAAGTGAAAAGTGGGAGATCTTCCCATTTGGTTGGCAAAGTGTTAAGGCTAGAACTACCGAGGATTTAATACGATTGATACGTAATCCCTATGAAAATTGTAACAATAGATTATTTTCGGTTTCTTCAGACATTCGTTATAGTATTCAAGTCGAAGCTATTTTCAAGATCATTTCGAATAGTCAATGCTTTTAAGATATCAATAGGGATTGAAATAGTGAAACATTTGGAATGCATCGAATCTTTTTTAATGCTAGATCTACCGAACATTTAATACGACTGATATGCAATCCCCATAAAAATTCTAACAATAGTTTATTTTCGGTTTCTTCAGACATTCGTTATAGTATTCAAGTCGAAGCTATTTTCAAGATCATTTCGAATATTCAATGCTTCGAAGATATCGATAATTGTGAAACTAAACAATTGAAACCAGTCATTTTGACTGCTAGTTCTAGTGTTGACCTCTTTTCGTTCCGCTGAAGGTATCGCGCTTTGTTTCAGAGAGCGGGGGGATTGTTGGTTTTATACTTTGGAAGGTTGTAGTTAATAGAGACTTTAGGTGAAAGTTGCGCCCAATAGGAAAATGTTCGGTTAACCGGTTCGGTTAATTTAGTACTTTAAATTAAACTTTGTATTATGTGAAGTATGTAAGTAAAATATCTTTGTTGCTTAATTGATCTGAGAATTATCGTTAGATTAGGTTCAAACAATGTCGTCTGTATCTCGTCGGAAAATCTCGAGTATTCCCAGTAAAGAAGTTCCGAGTGCAAAGCGTTAATTGATCTGCCGGACGATTACATTATTCAATTGTTAAGTGAGAAGGTCTGCTTCAGATGGCATTTAGAAATCTTACGTCCGTATTCTCGTATTTTTTAATTGTTGTGAACAGTCAAAGATTGATCACTGAATTACAGATTTTTATATATCAATGGAAAATTTGGAAGTGCAAAATTATACAATACAAAAAATATAAAATATCTAAAGTGCTGTCTTCATAGTGTTCAATAAGAGAAACAATTTCCCATCGTAATTCTGTTTCTCCGATTATATGTTTAAAGAGAAAATTGAAATTCTATGAAGATCCGCAGTGATCACCGATGCTTCTCAAGCCATTGGTAATCGTTAATTCTCGATGCTCACCGGTATCAGTGCGTCTTTGACTCCTAACGAAGCTACCCGCGGTGATAGCGAAAGTTTTCGCCGGCGAAACTTTCCTATTAGGCACAGTGTAGCTCTGAAAGTTTTGGATAACCGCATCGCTCCGACGATCTTCACGGTGGCGGTGTTATCGAATGGCAGAAGGAACGCGAACGCGCGCCGGAGGTTGTTAAACACGCGAAGAAGATCGATTTCTCGCGACGTAACGTGGTCACCTTAGCTGCTTACGTCGGATTCAGTGTTGCGCGGGTTTCTAAGACGTCCCGGCGCCCCGATCCTCTAAATCCCAGATTGTTGCTCTATTTACGGTGTATAATGTTCCGCGGTGTTGTTTGTTGCAGGAAACTCTAATCCCTCAGGAGGTCGTCGCGAGCGCGAGCATAGCTGGTAGCTCCGAAGGTGAGTCTCTATCTTCGTTTCTTCTTTTATTGGCATTGACTTACCTCGGCTGGCAGAACTGAAAGAATACTAGGTGGAATATTGAGAAAAGTTCAGAGCGAGTGAATGGTGGGAAAATTAATCGGAAAACGGAGTATGGGGATCATGGGACATTACAAATACTGTGGAAAGTATAAATCTTTAGTACGAATCGCTTATAAGTATCTATTAACACTAGAACTACCGTACTAGTCAAAATGACTGGTTTCGATTTTTTTGTTTAGGAATTATTGATATCTTCGAAGCATTGAATATTCGAAATGATTTTGAAAATAAATAGTTTCAGTACTATAATAAATACCTGAAGAAACTGAAAGTAATCTATTGTTACAATTTTTATGGGAATTGCATATTAATCGTATTAAATGCTCGGTAGTACTAGTATTGATCAGTTGATTTTACTAGAAAATTCGTGATACCTATTTGTACAGAATGGAATAATATTATGGATTATAACAACAAATTAAGAAATAAGTACTAGTGATTATTCTTCCAAAATTTCCAAAGTAAAATATAAAATGAAGCAAGTTCAGCATTTCCCCAAACATATGGGTGAATATGTATTGACATCAGTATACTGTTAAAGAACATCTGTTTTTCGTTGGAATAATTAAAAGTCCTGTCCAAACGAGAACGAAAGCACTTTTAACAGAGTCCGAAAGCAAACTCGGCGCAGCAGACAATGGGCCGATTGTGTTTTATTCGGAAACGTCTCGAAGAATGTCGATTCATTTGAAAAGGAAACGAGAGAGGAGTTCTCTGACGGTATCTCCGCGGTCGCTAATTAAGCCTCTCTCTTTGAGAAAGACGCGCGCGCGGAGAGACTGTCTCCCGTAGTCCTTCGCGGATTGCAAATGAATGCCGGTCGCGACGAATACCGGAGAGTTATCCGATTAATTGTTAATTACACACCGGTTTCGCGCTGTTCTCCATTTACCGTGATCCCCCCCGATAACGAACGATTAACATCTCCATTGTTTGGCCCCGGTGTTTCCAACTTTTCCTCCGTCGCGGTCTGCACCGTTCTCCCGTCTCGTCTCTCTATATGTTTCCGGGGAATTGTGTTTCCGGTTCGTGGCAAATAGTAACGACTGCCACTGGTAATGTAATTATACCCAATTATAGTATCAATGTTGCACCTTTGAATCAATAACGAGTAGACAAGAAATATAACGAAATAACGAAGTAGCAATATAATCAAATGATAGAATTACAAATCACTATTATAGCCAATTATAGTATCAATGTTGCTCCTTTGAATCAAAGACGATTAGACAAGAAATATAAATAGGGAATAAAATACTGTAACAATATAACGAAGTAACAATATAATCAAATAAAATAACAAATCACTATTACACCCAATTATAGTATCAATGTTGCACCATTGAATTAATAACAATTAGACAAGAAATATAAATAGGTAATAAAATACTGTAACAAAATAACGAAGTAACAATATAATCAAATAAAATAACAAATCACTATTACAGCCAACTATAGTATCAATGTTGCACCATTGAATCAATAACGATTAGACAAGAAATATAAATAGGTAATAAAATACTGTAACAAAATAACGAAGGAACAATATAATCGAATAAAATAACAAATCACTATCAGTCATTGCTACAAATCAAGAATTGCACGAAAAACGCGGGAACGAAGGATAGAAGGTACTTTCAAAGCTGTTACTACCGGAAGACCCGTGATTTCCCACGCAGTGGATGAAAAAAATTGGAGCAACATTTTTCACGCAAGATCCAGTTCGATAAATTTCTTTCGCACGAATAGCTACACGTTCGGGCTTACCGTAAGTAGAAAATGCGAGGCAAGAACAGACACGCATCGCGATACTGTTACTTGCGTCCCGTATAAAGTGGCCGTCGAATCGAACAAAAGAATCGCGTACGGGGCGGACCGGAAGGATCGTTCCCGTTTTCGAAACGCTAACCAGTGTCAAAACGCGCGGCGGGTTTTCGCGTGGGCGCACCCGCGTTTTCGCGTTTTCTCGTTGCCGCGTTTCCGCCGGCGGTGCAGCCGCGTTTCGAAACGCTCTCCTCCTCTCCGCCGATTACACGAAGATAACGCGTCCGTTGCTCGAGTGGTCTCGCAACCTGCATTCGAATGAACAGAAAAATGAGAACAGATAACAGCCTCCACCTCCGCTCGCTTCTTCTCTTGTACGCGCGATGCAAGGCGTTCTCACGGTAACGCCGGATGAATGGAACGGTTAGAAAGTTCATTTGCAACTTGTACATCTTTCACGCCGTCTTCCTTCACCGGTCATACATTCTCCGTTTCCTTTCAGTCAGGTCGTTGGTTCGTTCGATCCTGCCCTGTGTTTATCTAGCGTTCTTCGTGTACATCGAGATCGATTCGTAGAGTTTCTTTGGTACAGGAATTCTCAGATAGTCTTGTGGAAAATAGAAGTTTATATGGTCTTGAGGATAATTCAGTAGGGAAATTGAGAATTAGGCTTTTGAATTTAGTTAGAATTAAAGTTGGAATTATAGTTGAATATAGTTGGAAATAAAATTGCAATTAAAGCTGGAATTAAAGCTGGAATTAAAGTTGAATATAGTTGGAATTATAGTTGGAATTATGGTTGAATATGGTTGGAAATAAAGTTGCAATTGAAGTTGTAATTAAAGTTGAATATAGTTGGAATTATAGTTCAAAATAAAGTTGGAATTATAGTTGGAAATAAAGTTAGAATTAAGTTAAAATTAAAGTTGGAATTATAGTTGGAATTAAAATTGGAATTAAAATTGGAATTAAAGTAGGAATTAAAGTAGGAATTAAACTGGGAACTAAAGTTAGAACTAAAGTTAGAACTTAGAAACTCCAATGATATTATCTTTCTAGGTCAGCACTTAGGAATCCTCGAATTTTTCGAGAAGTGGAATTCGGAGATCATAGCTGTCTGGTTCTTTCGGTACCACCGAAAGATATTGCCCAAAGCGCTCCGCGCGATTCACCGGATTCCATCCAGGATTCTGTTTTCCTTATCTCGTCCCGATTTCTTTCGGTCGGCGGATCGTCGGGCGCCATTACCCGACGACTACACGAGCCTCGGGTAACGACAGTTAATTTCCATAAGAAAGGGAAAACGGCGGACAGTTAACAACGTTCCCGATCCCGCAGATCCCGAATATTCAGCGAGCCTCTCGACGCCGCGCGTTCGTCGTTAACGAGGTTCTTCGTTCCGCGAATCTGTGTCGCGAGCTCGCGGAATATTTTTCCGGGAGACGAGTCCCGAAAAATCGACGTGCCCAATTATATCTTCAAAAGGAACAAAGAATGAGCTATGCGCCGCAGCACTCGTTCAATGGATTTTTCAAAGCATATTTAATTCGCCATTCCTTACATTTATGAAGCGTATATTTAATCAATCTTTTAATTCCCTTTCTCTACAAATATCTTGCGACCAATAATTGCACCATTGCATCAAGACATTCCGGGGTTCCAATATTCTGTACCTCTGGTCACAGACATCATTAAAATGATGAAGCTATCAAATTAACCCCACGAATCAAAGCAAACAACTGTTTTGTTATTATCAATGTATTATCTTCAAATGAAATTTCCACCTGAAATAGAATGGAAAATTTTGTTGTATTTCTTATAAATTGTCGATAGTAAAATATTAACGAGTTTAGTAACGGAAGTAAATATAATATTAAAAAATAGGCACATCAGAGATAAGAATACCATAAAGTGGACATATCATAGATAACAGAAATATTTTTTAAAAACTTGTCACAAAAAGCTACATACTATATCAGATAAAGCGATGACGGATGATTTGCAATTAAAGCAGTTTCCAAACAATATGCGAGTTCCGACGCAAGGCGCGGAAGTTCCCCGGGAGTGTTCATTTGCAAATTTACCGGCTTCCGGTTTTTCAACTGTTAAGGAATTAAAAGCGACGGGCTCGGACACGGCCGGAAAAAATTCACTTTGCGAGTCGTAGGACGCATAATTGCTCGGCGCGGGCGAGGAGGGGCCGGAGGGGTGGGTGGAAGCTGGAGGAGCGGTCGCGTCAAGTTCGTAATGCGATTCGCCTCGGACAGGGTGAAACTAGTTTTCAACTGGTATCGAAGAGCGCCGCTAACGAAATGAAAAGTCCCGGCGTTCCTCGTTGTAGATGGGATGAATTCCACTTGGTTTGATTCGAGTTTTCCGCGACGGGGGGATGAGAATCGCGGCAGGCGGCTGAAACGTCCAGCGAAAATTTCCCAGGAAATATCGAGGGATGCTCTCGCAAGATTCTAGCACTCCGGGGAGATGAAGCAAAATTTCGATTTACATGCAGTGTTTCCTATTTTCTATGCGCACCGTAAATTTCAGCTTTCGTCTTCGCTTTCTTCCGGTTAACCCTGCTGGTTTATTTCAATATTTCACGTAACAGTGTGAGGTTTAATTTGAAATATTAAATGTTCAACTTATTACTAAATATTCGTTCGTTACTAAATTTATTCGATTTTCCACGCATCGAAATTTTGTACTGAGAAGGAGAATGAAAGGTCGAAGGAATGTTATAGCATTTGTCATTTTCACTAGAAATACCATAAAAATTATACATAATATTAAGCTTTGTATAATGCATCAATACATAGAATATTCAAATAAAATAACTTTCCTTAATTTATATGTTTCCTCGTTAACACTAGGTTCACGGAACGCGTGAAATTGACGCATATTGGATTTTAGAAATATTATTTTGCAAATGTTTACGCCGATTTTGATTGATGCGATCACTGACACGTACCCCAATTACCTATCAAATCTCCAGTTTCCACAATCTAAATAAACGAGCATCAATTTTTAGGAATAATGGAATAAAGTGTACAATAAACGCCCATAAACCTAGTGTTAATTAGTTTCAAAGAACATCGTCTGTCTCATCGAAGACTATTGAATATTTCTATTAAAAAACTTTCGCAAAAGGTTAATCG